GTGTGTGTGTGTGTGTGTGTGTGTGTGTGTGTGTGTATATATATATGTATGTGTGTGTGTGTGTGTGTGTGTATGTATGTATGTATATGTATGTGTGTGTGTGTGTGTGTTGTATTTGTGCTGATAAATACAGCAAATGTGCTGATACATACATACATGCATGCATACATACATACAAATGTGTTGAATTTAAATTAAATTGCATTAATTCAATACATTTGTTCTATGTTCTAAGAAGCTGGACCATTTTCCTGCACACCAGCATTACTATAAGGTGTAGACAGGAGATATTGTTTTGCAGTTCCACCCCACTTGTTGGAAGTGTCCTATGAAAAGTTTGTTTGATCCATCCAACTCTTTTTTCTTGTCTATTGCCAAGCAAAGATAATTCTATTCAGATGGTTTTCCATTTACTTTCGATGTTTAAACCTTTTTATTATCTGCAATATCAGCACCTGTTTTTGTTTTGCTTTGCTTTTAATTGCTTCAGTTGCTCACAATGAGCTGCTTAAATGCATAACCTTGATGAAAAGTTGAATCTTTATTTAAAATAATCCTCTCCCAGTAGTCAGAACAGTGCTATGGTCAACATTACTTTAAACATCAAAGCTTATACTTTTGCATTTGAATATGTGACCTATTCTTCCTGGGGCCAGCGGGGGAGGGGGAGGGGGGGAGAGACCTTCTAAGTAGTAAAAAAGAAAAAAAATCAATTATGCTTTAAGACAATACAAATCCTCTCCATGTAATTTTGAGGGTCTGCAAGATATCACATTATTAAAATATTCTGCATAGGAAGCCGCACTTTTCACAGTATTTCTAATATTCTGGGAATATAGAAGCTTCAAACAAGTTAAAAAGGGCTACCTGTTAATGTTGCAGCATCTAAAATTGCCCTTGGATTAAAACGGTGTGCATAGTGAAGAGCATCAGCCAACACCAATCTTCCCTCTGCATCTGTATTGTCAATCTTTTATGAAGCAATCAGAAAATCAGCAAGAGAAAATTACATTCTATTTGTAATTACAGCATGGGTTAACAAGCTTGCCTATATCATCAATAGCTAATTTGGGGTGCAATAATAATGCAGTTTCAAATTGTAAAATTTAACGCATTATACCTCTAAATCTGAAATAAATAGAATTATTATTATCAAATAATGGATACTGACTCTAACATTTGTGAAAATATTTTTGTTTTCCACTAAGACATCCTTGGGCCTTTCCACTATTTCCTCTCTGTAACAGCTATCTCCTGCCCCACATTTTGCAGGGTAATCAGGAGGAATCCCCTATCCAGACTGGCAAATATTAAAGACTGCAATTATTTTATTATTGCAATGGTTTTGCAATCCTGAAAGACTGACTAATACAAATAGTCTAACCCAATGTTTTTCAAACTAGGCATCTTTAAGATATGTGCACATCAACTCCCAGAATTTCCCAGCCAGCACAGAACCACATTAGGGGCATGTTATTGTTGTTAAATATGAGATTGCTAACATTCCCTCAAATCTGATGACCTTCAACAAGGGTTAGAAATGTTAGCAAGCTAGGCCTCTAGGACTTTCTGTGGGTTTTTTGCAAGCAACTGTTTATTCAGTTTATTTGTTCAGCTAGAAATTATGTTACTAGATGAAACTTCAGGCCCAACCCAACCTCATGTTATTTTATTAAAACCTGTGCTGAGTAAGCATCTTAAAACAAACCTGAATTGTTTTTCCATTCATGGCCGTCACAACATCTCCAGGTTTATTTGCCCTTCCACTGGGCATGTTTTCACAAAGCGGGGCCAGACCTTAGAGATAAAGAATACCAACTGAATTTATGCATAATGTAACATTAAACCATATTGTTTTTAAAACTTGAATCAAAAATTCCTCAGCAGTGGTATTGTTTCATTGGTATCTAGTTACCTGATGCCAACACAATTCCTTTGCTCACCACTCAATAAGCAAATTTGTACAGATGCCAGTCGAGAGGGTTTATTTCTTACAAAATAGATAACCTTGAAAATTTCTCTCCATTCTGTTTCCTGTTTGGTGTTTGTCAATATTTCAAAAGAAAGGGCTACTCCCTCACCCACTTTTTTTCTAGAGGAATTAAACCAACTAAAGATTGGGTCAAAGATTGTAAAAAGTTTGAATGTCCATGGATCCATATGATATGGTCTTGTGAATGTTTGATAGACTTCTAGAATAGTATTTTAATGTACATAAACATTAAGATATTAAAGTGATGCTGAATTATATTGTCAGATATGCCCCACTCTGATTGGGGAAACTCACAGGAATCCTGCCATCAAAAGAAAAAAAGGGGAGGGGGCAGAAGGATGAAAGGGGAAAAGATAAGAGAGCAATAAAGTTTTGTGTGTACATGATAGGAAATAGGAAATTGGGGGGGGGGGGGGATGACAAGTGACAAGGACCAAAGCAGCCAGATCCTGTTTGTGCCAGCATTCCACGGCCAGGTACCCTGAGAAATATGGGGATTACCCACAACATCTCAGAGTTCTCCAAACATTTTGGCGAGCTTTGGTTGGCTGGAAATGGACTGGTCATAGGGGGAGGGATGGGATGTGGGCAAACCTACACCGTATTTTTGCATCCAGTGAGCACGGTACTTTCAGAGCTTGCTTGACATTACTGCAATCAACACCCTTAGTAAAAGAGCCCTTTGCTTTAATCAAATGGAGTTGCAGGCCTTTAAGGGATCAAATTTGGGCAGGTCTGACATATATGGCAAAACCCTGGGTAGGGAAAAATTGAAAAAGTCATATTATTCTAGATATTTTGATTTTGGAAATGTGTAATTTTTTCGGTTCTGCAAAAGGCAGTGTTTCCAATAAATCAACAAATGAAGCAGTTATGTTCTTCTTTAGCATATATTTTATGATAGTTTACCATAACACTGTGATATCATTGGGTAATTTTATGTTTGCATCAGAGATTGGTTGCTCCCAGTTTTCAATACTGGTTCGCTTCACACGCATGTATGCAGTTCAATGTAAATTGTTCTTCGCGCATGCCCAGAACAATTTACAGTGAACTGCGCATGCATGCGCACTACCAAGCAACATGCTGGCAACGGCAGCAGGGATCAGGGAACCGGTTCGGGGGCGTGGCCAACCTGAGTTGCTGCCAGTTCTGTGACCCAGGCCCAAAAACCACTACCAGTTCAGCCAAACTGGGCCGAACTGAGAGCAACTGACCTCTGATTTGCTTTTAATTATAATAGACTGTACTATATGGCATTTTTTGTAAACCAGAGACTATAAGTTAACCATACATATTAGAATTACAGTTTAGTACAATACTGTTAATTTTAACCCTCTACGGTGAAATTTGTTAAATTATATTAGAGTCTTAAAGTGGTTGTCAGATTTGTTTAGTTTACTTGTTATTATTGTTCATTTTGGCGCTCTTTATTTTTTTATATTCTTCTAAAATAAAGAATAAAATACAGGTAATCTTCAATGAAAGATTCCAAGGTGGTCTGGAATTTCCATTGCTAAACAATGAAGTCATAAAGTGCTATGTCATCTGATGATACCTCTTAGCAGAGGCATCATTAAGTGAATCACCATGGGTCACAAAGCGAAGACATCATATGACCACCATTTGTGACTGCCTGCCGTCTTCCCCATTGGCTTTGCTTGTAGGAAGCCAGCAAAGAAGTTCGACACAAATGCAGGATACTGCAATGTCATAATTACAAGCAGGCTGTCCCAATCACAATCACGGAAACCTTGCAGTGGCTGGAACTAGGAGGACTACTAGTAAGTATCTCTTGTTCAGTGTCATCACAAGTTTGAATGGTTGCTGAATGAGTGGTTATTAAGCAGGACCACCGGTAATTAGGTAAAGGATATCTTTTCATCTAAAACACCATGGGAGAAGGGAATAGGTAGAGCAATTGGGAATCCTTATAAAGTGGCAACCCCCAAAACTGGAACATCAACTGGAGTGTCTGAACTGGAAGTCTCTTGATGAATCTCACCAGTCAACATCATCAGATTTTGTTTTGGAGAAGAAGCCAGAGGGACAAGGCAATCCAGCCTTCAATTTCAGCAGCTAATTTGGTTTGTTTGAGTTCTTAGATTTAGTAGGTTCTATTTCCAGCCCAAGAAGCAAATCATGGGATAACTTAACCCTAACCCTAACTCTTGAAGAATCAAAATGGGCTGACCGAAGGTCTGTTGACATCTCTTTCCAATTCAAATAACTTTTGTGAATGTATTCTTCTAAAATCTACTTACCAATTATATTAATGGGTAACCTCAGCGTTACAGCTGTGACAATAGCAGAAAAAATGGTGGCTGCTCCTCCCATATCTGCTCTCATGGCATCCATATTGGCTGAAGGCTTGATGGAAATGCCACCGCTGGGAAAAAATACAAGAGATGCCACAAAGGTTGGTCTCTTTGCCCACCCCACCCAACAATTTCAGAAACTTTCAGTATCAAGAGAAAACTTTGCTTAGATGCCAAGCCACATTTTTTTGTTATAATAAATGAAAAAGCATGGAAAGTATGGCATTATTATTATAATACACCTGACAGGAAGGTTCAACAATTCAGGTCTTCTGGAATAATATTGGAGAATAATTACTGTATTTTTCAGAGTATAAGATGCACCTTTTTCCCTCAAAAGAGAGGGTGAAAATCTGGGTGCATCCAATACATGGAATACAGCATTTTTGGGCTCCCAAAACCCTGCCCCCTTTGCAAAAATGGCCGTGAGTAGCACTTTTCTAGAGTGCTCCTGAGGGCTGGGGAGGGCAAAAATGAGCAAAAAAGACCGTATTTTTGTTCGTTTTTGCCCCCCCCCCCCCAATCCACAGGAGTACTCTATAAGCCTCCTAAAGGCTATGCATGCCCTTGTTTTGACAAACAACAGGCCCGTTTTCATGAAAAATGGGCCATTTTTGGGAGGTCTATAGAGTGCAAAAACTTTTTTTTTAAA